GCTGAGGAGAGGCTGTGCCTCTTGGGTTTCGGGTGAGTCTCTGAGTTAAGTTTCCTTAGGAAAGAGCACAGCTCAGAGGCCTGAGTCACCGTCTGCTTGGGGCCTTGCTGAACTGGAAAGCGAGTTCTCTCTCGAGATGTCAGTCCTCTGTGCTGTGTTTACATGTTGGCAGCAGGGGCCAGGAGGACTTGGACATGTTGGTGCTTCATCCACCAGACGTTGCTGCAGAGCAGCTTCCCTGCAGACACCTCTACTCCACCCTCCACACAGGAGTGAGGGGAGGTCTGACAGCCTAGCTACCACGGCCAGCAAGCCAGGAGGGTCCCTGCCCACGGTGTGGGGACTGCAAGGAGGAGGTGATGAACAGTGGAGATTTGGGACTGGTTGACCCTCATCTCCAGGCTAGGTGTGCTTTTCTTTCACTTTTATCCTTCTTCCATCTGTCCTACCTTGTCTTTGGTGTTCTGGACCACTGTGAGGCTTACAAAGTACAGTGTACCATTCAGTGTGTTGTGACAGCCCCACTCAGGTCCCCAGGGCTACCTAGGCAGTTGTGGAGCTTTAGGCTCCCCCTGTAGCATCTGCTCTCCCCTGTCACCTGGGCTCCCACTGGGCAGTGGCTTCAGTTAGAGCTGGCATTCAGTTGAGGCCTCAACTAAGGGCTCCAAAACAGATCTGCTCCCAAGTGGCAGCTAAACAAGGCCCCCTTGATCTGGAGCTGAGGCCAGATGGCCCCTCTGCCTGCAGTATGCCCTACCTTGGGTTCAGACTCAGAGACCACCAAAGGAGAGTATTCATTGATGTTCTTGCTTCTCAGGAATGAACAAAGGGGCCACCATCATATCGTGTCTTGTAGAGAATGTGCAGTCTCCGCCTTTTGACCCCAACACCTCCAGGATTTTTAGTGGCTCCTTAATAATCAAATGAAAACTATTTCTGTGGTTAGCACTGACCTCTTGTACATTGAAAACATGAAAAAAGCACGTTTTTGATGTTCAGAATCATCACGATAGAGTTAGATACCTTTGACCAATTTCAGATTTGGCTTTGGAGGCTGGTTTGTTAGCACTAGGAAATAAATCCCTACCTTGGAACAAGTCTTTTCTAACCTAAACAGTTTTCCCAACAAATAATTCTTTCTGGCTACCCTTATTATCACATATATATGTCTAAGAACATTTAGTTAATAAACACTGAGTCTCCTGCTATGTTAAAATCATAGGAATGTGAAATTGAAGAAATTTTAAATGTCATCCAAACTAGCTTTCTTCTTTACAGGTGAGGAACCAAAAACCAGGCTGGACTGAGTCCAAGGCTTCCACTTATGTGTCTGACAAATAGATTTGAATTGTGGCCTAGGCCCTTGTAGACTTGGTTTTCTTATAGACCAAAACCTAAATGGTTAAAATATTTTTCAAGAAAATTTCTTGTGAGCAGATAAAAGAACCAGAAGGAATTCCTATGTCTGAGCTGCCTGCAACCTATCATCTGTGGCAGAAAATTTATGTCTCCATATCATTGCCCAGGGACATACATAGGGGCTCCTGGTGGTGAGCTGTGGTCAGCACTCAGAATGTAATGACCCTGTCACAATCTGAGTGGGATTTTCCTCAGAGTTGATAAAGCCCAAAGAACCATACAGAGAGGAGGAAAAAAAGAAAATAAGAATTCTACAAAGGCATCACTTTGTGCAGCTCTCCCAGGCCTGGGCTGTGGCCAGGGAGCTGCCCCACTATTTTCTTCTGCAGGTCCTAGGGAGGTAGCCAGTTTGAGGTTGACAGGTGCTCAGCTCTGGATCCTCTAGAGATACCTGGGATATGCTGACAAAGCCCTTGAATAAGCCTTCACTGACCTTCCTGCCCATTGCCAGGCATTTCTGAAATTAAAATTACTTCTGCTTTACCCTTCGTTACTGTTAAAATCCTCATCTACCCAGTGTTATGGAGCCAGTGAATTCTTACATGCTGATGCTGCTGTGGTGGTTTTGTAGTTAGATGAGAGGAGTATAATGGAGCCTCCAGAATGCCTGGCCCCTGGTGGGTTGTTCCCAGGGCTGTAGGTGGAGGGAGATGGAGAAACCCTGCACATTTCACGGAGAATTTGGGCAAATAGCTTCTGGGTCTGTTGTTGCAGGATGGGATTTAATGAGCTCTGTTTCCTGCTCATGGACTGTGATTTTGTTTTATTGCCTGGAGACCAAGAAAGAATTCCGAGGGCTGTAGGGCCTCACAGAGGAGTCAGAGGCATTCTTTCCGTAGGCCTCCTAAGCCCATCTTATACCAATAGCTGCCCACCTGCCCTCCACTCCTCAAGTCCATGGTCGTCAATACCTCCTCTCGGAGGTAGGGGTGGCTGCCCTTTTTATATAGGACAAAAATGAGTCCTAGAGAGGCTGTGTGACTTTTCAGAGCCACATGGCCATCAGATGACAGACCAGGATCTGTGTCTGGGCCTGCTTCCATGCCTCCTCCCCACAGCTGGACTTACAGGTGAACAAGCAGCTGTGTGTTCAGGTGGTCAGGGGTGGAAAAATGGGCCTGAGCACATCAGGGCCACAGGTCAGAGGCCTAAAGCGACGCCTCCTTAGACTACAGAGCACCTATTGGGAACAAACTCTGGACGAGAAGCAATGTACACAGTAGCCCTCTCAGCCCTGCCAGAGTTTGCCCGTCCGAGGAGGCTCTGCCTTCAGGACACTCCCCTGGCCTCCTGTGGGTTCATCTACATGAGCCTGGATTGTTGCTGGTACACTAGACAGCTTCTGAGAAATGGCAGGAAGGTGACTTGTTTCTTTTTTAAAATCCAGGCTCTTGAAGATATTAAGTGGAAAACACGGGGCAGAATGGTGTGTATGATACATGACCCGTATAATAAAAGGAGAGAGTAAGCATCTGTGTTCCCTTTTACTTGTAAGTTGCATGAATAGACTCTGGAATAATCTATGAACCTATTGAAAGTCTCATTCTTGGGATGAGGAGATGAGGATGGGGAGTGACTAATGGGTTTGGGGTTTCTTTTTGAGGTGATGAAATGTTCCAGAATTAGGCAGTGGTGGTGGTTGCACAGTCCTGAATATACCAAAAAGCACTGAATTGTACACTTTAAGATAGTGAGCTCTTTGGTAAATAAATCATATCCTACATGATATCTCAAGCCAGCTGTTTAAAAGTTTTTCTGATAGTATTTCATTTGGCTTTGAGCCTCTATCTGGGTGTTTAAAAACTGATGAGTTCTGCTTGGTGCTTGACCTTCTCTCTGGAAGGAGAGGGATGGTCTCATCTGGAGATGAAAGAAAAGCCCCAGCAACTGACAGGGGACTCTCAGGGGCGTGCTTGAAGCTGTTTGTGTCTAAAGGGTCTGTGAGCCAGGCAGGGAGATCAACACGAAGGACTGTGGGGCTAGAGTGACCCACCTGGCCTGGTGGGCTTCTGACGTGGTGTGTGTTAGTGGGTGAGACACGACCTCTGGAGTTAGCAGTCCTCTTGGTAGACTAGGAGGAAAAGGGGTGTTTTGCCCATTGGTATTTCAGGCTGGCCCCTTGAGGAGCCCCAGGAGCAACTGCCTAGTGTCCTCTGCTAGAAAGAGCTTACTTTGTGTTTGTGTAGGACTCAGCTTATCATCTAGAGATACGGTCCCACAGCTGGCGTAGGGCAGTGGCCCTTGGTTGAGTTAGGAAGGGACCAGTGGCCAATCCAAGGAGGACCACATTGACATGCCCCAGGCCTCTTCTTTCTTGGGCTTCCGAGATATCCTTTGAAAAGAAGAAAACCGTTGGTTTGATGTGCTGGCAAAATTTGGTCTTGAATGCTGGCCATGGGAATTGCTGAAGGAGGTCTTTTCTAAATATGGGCTTTTCTGCCAATGGTTATTTTTGGTTGTTTCAATTACAGTTGTGCTCTTTGCTAACGCTGTAGTGTTGTATAAATACAGGGTGAATCACAACCAGGCCATGAATCCAGATCTGGGGTGGAAGTGACACGTGGACAGCCCCCAGAACTGGGTTCTCTGCCCCAGAGCGTGACAGGCAGCCCAGGCTGGGCAACGCCTGCCCTGCTGCCTCTGATGGGATGGGCGCTATTTTTTCCCATGTCCGCACTCACACCTGAGGTCACTCTTGTGTTCAGGTGCCCCAGCAAGTCCACACCACCCTCATGAACATGGGGAAATGATAGGGATTGCGCCTGCCTGACTTCCCTGCAAGGCCATCCCATGGGCTGGTTTCTCCCAAGTGCCTGGCACTTGCTCTACCCTAGCCATCCAGGCCAGGGCAACTGGCCAAGGAGCTGCCCGTCTCCTGAGACGCAGACCCCTGAGAGGCCATGTGAACCCTGCCCTGCATCGGTGTAGGAAATTAGGGGCCCATGTTTCCTCTCTTTTTCCTTCATCATAAAAGCTCAAGAGCAATAGGTGGGGAAATGGAGAGACCCTTCCTCTGGTCAACTGGGCATCTGAAGAGGGCTGCGGTGGTTGTGCTGGCACAGTCAAGTTCAGGTACCTGCACAGGTTAGTGGGCTGCGAAGCAGCAGGGATCTCTTTCTGTTGTTCATTACTGGAGGGTCCTGCCAGGTTTTGGGCCATCAAAACTTCTGCTGCCCAGGACAGGAATTGCAGATGGAAGGCACCCCGAGGAGGTGCCCAGGACCATCTGTGCTCCTCAAGAAAGCGTCCTTGTTGGAAGAGACACTAGCACTGGAATCCAAGTCTCTGTTCCCCAAGACACCCATGTAAGTTCACTCTTTGAATCTGAGTCCCTAATGCAGACAGTGAGATAAGGCCACCTCCAGGGCCTTAGGAGAGGCCAGGGTGGGGCCAGCCATGGGCCCTGAGAAGGGTCACATAATTAAACAAAATTGTATCTAATTAAACTGTAGCAGAGACTGAGGAGGGCTAGAAATACTATAAAATGAGAGGGATATTACTGTGTCCAAGGCATCTCACTTCTAATATTGAGTATAGTCATGCAACACATAACATTTCCGTCAATGACAGCCACATAGGCAGTAGTTGTCCCATAAGATTTTGTTTTTACTGCACCTAGTCCATGTTTAGAAGTATTTAGATACACAGCCACCATTGTGTCACAGTTGCCTAGAGTATATTCAGCACAGTAACACACTGTGTGGGTGTGTGGTCGCAGAGCAGTGGGCTACTCCAGGTAGCCAGGGTGTGCTCTAGGATGTTTGCATAACAACCAGTCACCTAATGATGCATTTCTCAGAACATATGTGGCAATCGCTCGGAACCATGCCTGACCCTGCAGAGCATCTTACAAGTCCGCAGTGGTCATCCATGGGCCGGGATGAAGCCCACAAGTGAAGACAGGTGCTGCTCCCACAGTAGGTGATGTGGGTACAGCATGGGAGAGCCAGGAGGTGGATAGGGGGCCCATACACACCAAGAGGGAAGGGGCCGGAGTCTCCTCTGTTCCTCATGACTCTCCCACAATGCCTGAGTTGTGGTGATTCACAACTAAATCTAACCGGAGCAGCCCAGCTGTACTGAGGGCTGCTTTGTGGATGCTGTGTGTCCCTCTTGCTGAAGCTCGCATTGGTCACGTGTCCACAGTTGGTAGAATCCTTCTCACACATATGCCTTATGTCTAGCCTGAGGGACATAGCTCTGTCTACTCTGAAGCAAAATGTGAGAAACAGTTCAGCCTAGTGTACCAAGAGTATTTCTTACTAGGAGGGAGTCTGCTGGGGAGAACCTGACAGCACCCCCCCATGTGCGCCATTCCCTCAGTCATGCAAAGCAGGACATTGACCTTCCAGGACCAGAGAACAGGTCGAAGCAGGCAGCTCCATGTCCTTGGGAGCAGCCCCACTGGCATCAGGCCATTAGAGTAACTCTTAGTGGATTCTTCCTTGATTTTATTATTTTTTCACTACAGTTCTCACACACACATCTTCCTTGATTTCTTAAAGTGGTTCTGAAGACCAGAAAAGATGAGAAGATACTGGTTAGCACGCAGATTTGAAGAGCAGAGGGTAAAATTTTATGTTACTTTTAAAACTGGAGGAACAGCAGCTACAGACAAAATGCTGATTATTAGCACTTGCTTGCATATCACATGAGATCATGTGTACCCCTCAATTATCACATCAACTGAGAGCAGCAGCTATGAGTCTGCGTGTGCACAGAGTTGTGTGTGTGTACATCCTTTGGGGGGGTGTGCAAGGGCTGTGTGTGCGTGCACGTGTGAGGGTGCATGCATGTGAGGGTGTATGCATGTGTGAGGGTATGTGAGCACGTGTGTGTATGCATGAGGGTGTATGCATGTGTAAGGTGCATGTGTGAGGGTATATGTGTGTGTGAGGGTGTATGCATGTTTCAGGGTGTGCAAGCACATGTGAGGGGGTGTGCGTGTGTGAGGATGCTTGTGTGTGTGAGGGTGTATGTGTTAGGGTATACGCCTGTGTGAGGGTGCAGGTGTGTGTGAGGGTGTATGTGAGGGTGTGTGAGCATGTGTTGAGGTGTATGCATGTGTGAGGGCAAGCATGTGTGAGGGTGTGTGTAGGTGCATGTGTGTGTGAGGGTGTGTGTCTGAGGGCATGTGAGCGTGTGAGTGTATGCAAGCATGTGTGAGGGTGTATGCATGTGTGGATGCACACGTGTATGAGGAGTGTGAGTGCTTAATACATGTGAGGGTACATGCATGTGTGAGTGCATACGTTTGAAGATTCATGTATGTGAGGGTGTGTGAGGGGTGCATGTGTGAGAGGTGCATGTGTGTGAGGGTGCATGCGTGTGTGGGGGTGCATATGACGGTGTATGTGAGGGTGCATGCACGTGCGTGAGTTTATGTGAGGGTGTGCGAGCATGTATGAGGGTGTAAGCATGTGTATGTGTGTGGGTGCATGAGTGTGTGAGGGTGTGCGAGCATGTGTGAGGGCATGTGTGAGGGTGTATTTGTGTGGGGGGTGCATGCGTGTATAGGGGTGTATGCGTGGGAGCGTGCATGCGTGTATGATGGTGCATGTGTGTGTGAAGGTGTGAACATATGTGTGTCCCTTGTGTTCCAGGGCTGCTGGTCATGTGCCTGGAATAATTTCATGTAGGTTGTGTGACATTCAGGTGATGTTGTCTCCAAATTTAACTAGATAGGAAAGACAATAAAAGTTAATTTCATTCATATTAATTTTAAAATTACTTCTTAATACATTAAAGCTGAGGCAGGTATGATGGTGCCTGTAGTCCCAACTACTCAGGAGGCTGAGGCAGGAAGTTGGCTTGAGCCCAGGAGTTCACATCTAGCCTGGGCAACAGAGTAAGACTTTGCCTCTAAAAAAAAAAAAAATTAAATCACCTTCTGAAGATATGTGAGAGACCCTGTGAGTGTGCCACCTGTATGCTTGAGGGAATGATCCACTCCTCCCAGCAAGGCACATCACACTGACCCACTAGGCAAGGTCAGTGTGTGCAGTATTGTACTGGAAAATAACCAGGCTGAGAACCTAGAGAGTACAAGATGTTTCGGTTAGTTGTAGGCTGCATGATTTTCTAACAACATCTCAGAAAGAGCAGTTACCCTCCAGCGGCATGACTACAGCCCAAGGCAAACCCTGGAGGATAAAGGGGTTGCCTCGCACAGCTGCAGGGTTAGGCACTGTCTGAGCCCAACCCATCCTCAGTGCACTGCTGGTTCCCACTGGGAGTCTGTCGCCACAGTCAAGCTGAGAAAGTATCCCTGGGGATAAGCCTGGTAGAGTCATCTGGTTTTGTCTGTGTTCCCACCAGTGGCTTTCACCTCCTTCCGCTGCTCCAGCAGACAGGTTGTTGTCTCATTAGATCTTGATGTGACTTAGATGTGACTCCTGAGCTGTTCAGTGGCAGTCGGGGCAGAGCCGCTGCCGCTTAGATGTGTCTCCATGTGGAAGGAGGCCTAGTGTCCACAGCCATGCAGGACGGGGAGGCAGAGTCAGGTGGTCAGCAGGCTGAGTGGACACTAGGGAGCAGGCAGTGGTGGAGGCTTAGGCCTGAAGACTGCGGCCCTCAGAGCTGCCAGGGTGACAGAACTTTCCTAAAACCGTGGATTCCGAGGGACCAAAAAACTGATCTTTTTTTCCTGATAGTCCATTCCGGACTTGAGTCAGTTCTAAATGTGCTCCTTTAATTTCTCCTGGTTTATTTTCATCTAGTTGCTCTCTGATGAAGGTGCTGTAGAGTTACTGAAACAACTTTGGCAAATCACCGAGGGCACCTAGAAGCAAGGGCCTGTGCATTATAGTGCCCCGCAGCTGTGGCGAGTTGCTGGCTCTTCTTGTCACTCTTCCTTCTGCCTTGCCATGGGCTGAAAATGGGCAGACAGGGGTTGGAGTTCATTCTCCACGTACTGCTTCGTCTCTCTGCAAAGCTGTGAAGTACTGCACAGAAGCCAGGGCAGAACTGTCTGGGATGACTGAAAACTCCATGTTTGTGACAAAAATGGAAGCAACCCAAAGTTGTCAGAAGAAGAAAAAACAAAAATGTCTGGCCACTGTGTTGAGAAATGTGTCCTAAGTCAGTTCATTGTGGTTCATGACACCGCCCCAGCGTCTGCACAGTGTGGCCTGCACAGGCTTCCCAGGCCACACTCTCCGGGCTCTGTCCCCATTGCAGTCTGGACCAGCCCGTGCAGCCGTCCGTTGCCTCCTGGTGGCAACCTGTCCCCTGCACTGGCGAGGCCCTCATCCTGAGAAATGGCAAAAAGTAACCCCCTTAAAGAGCAGAATATATGAAGGCACCCATGATATAGCAAGGAGCATGCTGGTAACTCCCCTTAGGTGATATAGGAAAGGAAAAAATTTCAGATCGTAATTCATTAATGTAGATTTTAGTCTAATTTGCTGAAGGAGAGTAGATTAAAAGCAGGGAAAAGGTTAGGCTCTCTCACAAATCTCTCATTCTTAGGAAGGCATTCAAGGTTGCAACAATTAGGAGGGCAAGTTTGTGGGACTAGCAGTTAGGTTCCTGCAAAGCTGGAAGGAGCCATCTTATTCTTTAGCTTTATTGAGACATAGTTCAGCATCCAGCCATTTAACTTGTCCAATCCAGTGTTTCTTAGTGTGTTCAGAGTTGTGCAGCCAATGCCATAGTCCATTTTAGGACATTTTCATCACCCCAAAAAGAAGTCTCTGTGCCTGTTAAGTAGTCTTTCTCCATCTCCCCAACCCCCAGCCCCTGGAACCTCTAACCTGCTTTCTGTCTCTCTCGATTTTCCTGTTCTGGAAATTTCACATGAAAGGAATTATACAGTCCATGGTCTGTGTGCCTTGCTTCTCTCACTCAGTGTGAGTGAGTGGCTCACTCGGATGCTTTAGTGGCTCATCTGTGGTGTTATCTGTGTTATGGCTTATTCACGTCATGGATCATTCATGCAGTGGATCATTTGTGTCATCTGTGGTGTGGCTCATCCATGTCATGGCCTGTTTCAGTGCCCCTCTCTTGCTTGTGGCTGAATAAGACCCCACTGTATGGACAGACCACACTGTGTTCATCTGTTCATCAGTTGATGGACATTGGGGTTGTTTCCACCTCTTGGCCACCATGAATGATGCTGCCGTGAATACTCACGTATGACTCTGTGAGATCACGTGGATTCAGTGCAGGCTGGGAGTTCCTCAGAGGCTCAAACAGAGTTGCCATATGACAGGCGCCTAGGCTAAAAGGGATAAGAGCGGACACCCTTGTCTTGTTCCTGACCTTAGTTGGAGGTGCCCAGTGTTTGGCATTGAGTGTGACCTTAGCTGTGGGTTTTCATAAATGCCCCTCGTCTGGTTGAAGCCCTAGTGTTTCTTTTTCACATTAGAGGCAAATGCATTGGGGTGGGTTCTTAATTTCCTCCAGTTTGGACAATAAAAAGGACCAAGAAAAACAGAACTCTTTGACTGCTAACATATGTGTAAAAAGAAAGTTTGTAGAAACAAGAGTTAAAGTGCGTTTAGCAGGTGATCATCACTGCACACAGGATGCTGGAATTATAATTTTGGGTTGTGCCTGTCCATGTGCTTTCGTTGTATGTCATGTGCTCTCAGACGGGGACATCCAGCTGACTTCTGACTTGGGGAATTTAAACTTTATACCACTGCTTTATTTAGAGGATTTATTTATTGTGTTTTCCATTTTTTTTTATTTAAAAGTTGTATAAAAATTGTTAGGGCTGTTTTTGATAGAGAAAAATCATTATGACGGGTTTTACTAAACCCATATACCTTTGTGGTCTGGGGAGCAGTGAGTGCTAAAGCCAAGCGAATGTCTGCAGAAACAAACAAGGGGATTCTCTCAGCTTCAGAGACTAATGAAGCAGGATGGAGCAGGCTCCTAGGCAGAGAGTACTTGGAGAGAGTACGACCACACAGTGCACAAGCTGGGGCTGTGCGTGCCACACGCAGGACCATGTGCTAAGCCATGGGAAACTCAGCTTGGGGCCATTAGAGCTCCGGGGCCTGCCCCACCCATTCTGACTGGCACTACCCTCAGGAAACCATCTCTGCCTGAAACCCATTAGAGCCAGGGAGATTTGTCTGGCTGTAAAGGAAGAAGACGGATGCTGGTGGTTTTTTGTCTTTTGGTTGTTGCTTTAGAGCCACTGGGAAGATCAGTGTACTTTTCCACTCCGTGTGTGTGGCTCTGCTCTTCTCCATGCTCATCTGCAGCTTGTTTTGCAAAAATCTTCCCTTTGGCTTTATCTCCCTTCTCCAGTTGCAGCCCATGTTCTAATGTCAAGACTGCAAATGAGATTCAGGCCTTTGAACAGCCTGACTCTGTAGGAACCGCCTTCCAACCTGCTGGAAACGTGCATGTGAGGCCAGGGTTCTTACCCTCAGCACGGCTGACCTTCTGGGCTGGACATTTCTTTCCTGGGGCATCTGTAAATGGAGAGCTGTTTATTGGTGCTCCTGGCCTCTGCCATCTAGATACCAGGAGTGTCCCCCAACTTGTGACAACTAGAATGTCTCCAGACATTCACCACATGTCACTGGGAGCAGAACCATGGAGCTAAGTTGTGGCTGTCCCTGTGGTGGGCTGTCTGTTGTGATGAGGAACGGCTGGACCTGCAGGTGGACGTCTGGCCCCCCACAAAGCTTATACAAGGGGGGACCCAGGAGCATGTGATGCCTATGCCAAGCTTATTGGTGGGAACTGCCGTCAGGCTTACTTCCTCCAGGGAATGGCGAGCAGCCCTGCCATTCACCACTAAAGTGCCATAGAGACAGTTAAGCTTGAGAATGTGATTGGCATTCTGAAAACACCCAGGGGCCGCAGTGTGACCCAGCTGGCAGAGAGCGAGGACCCCTGACACTGGCTGGGTTGGTCCTGGGAGGGCCCCTGTGATGCCTGGAGGGCATACACCGTGGAGCAGAGCCTCCTCCAGTGCAATGTGGAGTCTCTGTAAGCATGGTGCTGCATTCCCAGGTGCTGCCGGCTGCACCCCTCCCAACTGCGTGTCCTTGCCTGCCAGCCCCAGCCTGGCTCTCCTGCTGGGAAATTCCCAAGCAGAGGCCTCAGGTAGCAGGCACTCCTTGCCCCCTCTGCCACTTGGGCTGCTGAGAGTATATCACCAGGAGTGAGCTCAGGGCCTGGTTTGCCCAGCCAGGCCTCTATACCACTTTTCCACAGGACATTTAGCTTCCCCCTTTCCGTCCTCTCTGCAGACCAGTGAACTTTCATTCTGAGGCACAGTGGGGCACTCCCATCAGGCTCTGCCTCCCTTGACAGAGGTGAGACCAGCTACAGCATAGCTCCTGGCAGCCAGGAGCCCCTCTGAGATGAGTCAGGCAGCATGCTCACGGCACCTTCATATGGCTTCAGTTCTTTGACCACTGTATTCCTAACCAAAGCATAAACTTTAGGTTCACTTTGGAGTTTGCATTACCCAAACCATTTGCTTTTGATGATATAGTGTCTTGGCAGAGTTCTTGCTCTTGGACTTAGTGTGGTGATGGTGACTGCCATGCATGGAACCCATGGCATGGGGATCTGCCACTGTGCTCGTTAACTGAGGAGGAGTTGAAGTCGCTGTCCAGAAGGCACAAACAGCAGCCAGGGGCAGTAGCAAGGCCACACCATTGTGGAACCCGTGCTCCTAATAACTTACCTGCACCTCTCCTCTTGGTTCTGCATGTCTTTGCATGGAACAGCTGATTTCACGTGGGTCTAGGCCAGTAGGGGACCCTGAAGCAAGCCTCCTGGGTGGGAGGAGGCACTGGCATGTCACAGACATCCCGTTGGCCATCTGTGGTGGATTTGGGGGCCAGTGGCCTGCTGATGGCAGGACACGCCCTGGCACAGGAGCAGGCATGGGCGGGAGAGCATGTTGCTGCAGTCTGGGGCATGCCAGCCCGGCTGCCAGAAATGAGCTCATCCTCCCTGGGCCTTGCTGAGTGTCTGAGGCCTTTTCACCGAGGCTCACCTGAGTGACTTCAGCACCAGGGGATTACCAAGGAAAAATGTTCCCCTCTAGTTTGAAGAAAAAAAAAAAAAAAAAAACTGACTGCAGCCAGCCCTCAGGCCCTTCCTGTGAAGGCACCATGGGCCACACCATGTGAGCTTGGCTGTGGGCACTGGGCCAGCCTCTGGTGCTCACCAGCTGGTGCATTGGTAGGTCTCGGGGTTGGGCAGTCAGTTCCCATTGGCGCTTTGTGACAAGCTCCTTCTCTTCGTGGCCTCTGAAAAACACTGTATGAAATGGGAAATTGTCAGTGGCGGTTAGTGCTCTCCCTGGGCTCTAGCGTGTTCTTCTCTGTCTCCCTGCAGGACGCCACCGGCCTGATAGGCTCTTCTGCCTGTCTCCTGCTCTTCCTTTCTCACTCGCTCCCTGGAATAGGAGCCACTGACTTGAAACCTTCATGCTGTTTTGGGCTGACCTGTTCCTATACCCGGGAGGAAGTGATGGGGCAGGGCTAAGAGAGGCAACCTTGCCATGCTGTCGGCATGTGTCCATCTGCACAGATTTGTGGACATCTGTTTTATGCCTTGTGTGTTCTGTAGATAAAGATGCTATGCCATATGAAGATAGCACTCCTTCATACTCTGTGAGCTCCACTCTCCCATCCTAGCAGGAAACATCTGGGGCAAGAACTAGCATTGCTAGGGAGTCTGGGGGCTGGGACATGGCTTTACTGAAGTGCTGTGGTTGGAGGCATCCCTAAAGCAAAAATGACCAAAAAGCCAGACTGGACACTGGAAATGGGCTTGAAGGAGGATGGCTGCAAGCTGGGTTTCTTCAGGGATGCTCCTCTCTGTGGGTTCTCAGCATGCAGGCACAGAAGGCTGGAGGATTCTGCCTTTCCTGAGGGAAGACACTGTTGGAAGGGCAGATACAGCCGGGAGCAGGAATTGCCAGTGAAGGAATGGGGCTCCCCTCAGCCCAGCAACCGCAGACACTGAGGTCTGGAGGAGTCTGGCTGGAAGGCACAAGTTTACAAAGCCTGGGCCAGAGGCATCTCCTTGAGGAGTCAGACCTGTTCTCCTCCTAGGGTGCAACACTGAACCTACTGGGAGCAGGTGTTTGAGATTTTTATAGAGATCAATGCAGCTTTTCCAATGATATCTCCACTGGGACAGACATGGGGATGCAATGCAGGTCTCCCCATCTCACCTGTACTCTCGTGTGCTGGGTGGATCTTAGGAGCAAGACACAGCTGTATCTGGAAGAATCAAGCACAGAAAGAAAGTTTCTTGTCTGAGGCAATATGTGGTCTTGCTGGATCACGATTATTCCATACATGTGTGTGCGCGCGCGCGTGTGTGTGCATGTGCACGCGCGTGTGTGTGCGTGTACGCACACACGTGCTTCCCATTTGGAATGTGATTATCTTGTGCAGGTTTGTGTGCATGTGCTTCTCATTCGGACTGCAATTTATTTCATGCATGTGTGGTGGGTGTGTGTGCACATGCACGTGTGCGTATGTCTGTACTTCCCATTTGGACTGCCGATTTATCCATGCATGTGTGTGCACATGCATGTGTGTGCATGCACTTTCCATTTGGACTGCAGTTTATCTCACGTGTTTGTGCATGTATGTGTGTGCATGTACATGTGTATGTGCTTCCCATTTGGACTGTGATTTATCCTGTGTGTTTGTGTGTATATGTGTGTGCTTCCCATTTGGGCCATTTATCCCATGTGTGTGCACATGTGTGTGTGTGTGTGTGCTTCCCATTTGTGTATGTGCGCTTACCACTTGGACTGCAATTTATCCCCTGTGTATGTGCACGTGTGCGTGCTTCCAATTTGGACTGTGATTTATCCTGTTTGTGTGTGCCTCCCCTTTGGGCTGTGATTTACCCTGTGTATGTGTGTGTGTCTGTGTGTGTGTGTATATCTGTGTGTGCTTTCCATTTGGGCTGTGATTTATCCCGTGTGTGCACATGTATGTGCATGTGTGTGCTTCCCATTTGGACTGATTTATCCCATGTGTGTGTTTGTGTGCATGTGTGTCTGCTTCCCATTTCGACTGTGATTATCCTGTGTTTGTGTGAGTGTGTGTTTGTGTGTACATCTCTGTGTGTGCTTCCCATTTGGGCTATGTATCCCATGTGTATGTGCTTCCCATTTGAGTTGTGATTTTTGTGTGTGTGTGTGCATGCATGCACGTGTCTGTTTGCATGTATGTGTGTGTGCTTCCCATTTGAACTGTGATTTATTCTGTGTGTGTGTGTGTGTGTGTGTGTGTGTGTGTGTGTGTTTGCGTGTATATCTCTATATGTGCTTCCCATTTGGGCTATCCATCCTGCATATGTGTGTGCGTGTGTATGTGTGCGTGTACTTGTGTGTGTGTGTGAACCTTCCATTTGGACTGTGATTTATTCTGTGTTTGTGTGCATGTGTGTATATGTGTATGTGTGCTTCCCATTTGGGTGTGATTTATCCCGTGGGTGTGTGCTCATGCATGTGTTTGTGCTTCCCACTTGGATTGCGATTTATCCTGTGTGTGTGTGTGTGTGTATCTCTGTATGTACTTCCCATTTGGGCTATCCTGTGTATGTGTGTGTGTGTGCGTACGAGTGTATGTACGTGTGTGTGTGCTTTCCATTTGGACTGTGATTTATCTTGTGTTTGTGTGCATGCATGTTTATGTGTATATGTATATGTGTGCTTCCCATTTGGGATGTAACTTATGTAGGTGTGTGCTCACGCATGTGTGTGTGCTTCCCATTTGGATTGCGATTTATCGTGTGTGTGTGTGTATCTCTGTGTGTGCTTCCCATTTGGGCTATCCTGTGTATGTGTGTGTGTGTGCGTACGAGTGTATGTACGTGTGTGTGTGCTTTCCATTTGGACTGTGATTTATCTTGTGTTTGTGTGCATGCATGTTTATGTGTATATGTATATGTGTGCTTCCCATTTGGGATGTAACTTATGTAGGTGTGTGCTCACGCATGTGTGTGTGCTTCCCATTTGGATTGCGATTTATCGTGTGTGTGTGTGTATCTCTGTGTGTGCTTCCCATTTGGACTGTGATTTATCCCATGTGCGCGTGTGTGGACACTGCCATTTGGACTGACTTATCCCATGCGGATGTGTGTGCACACTCCCCACCTGGACTGCAATTTATCGTGTGTGTGTGTGTGTGTGTGTGTGTGTGTGTGTGTGTGTGTGTGTCCTGTTTGTTTTTTAAGGATCGTGAAGGGCTGTTTACATAGATCCTGTTTTGCCTGTGACCGCTGTGGTACCGGGGGGAGCATTTTTCCACTTTAGTGTGCTATTTGTCCTGTTGGGAGCTTGGCCTTGGCTGCACGGCAGGCAATGTGGGGGAGGCTTTCTTTAAGGCTGGTTTGTACTTTTATTTGTTCCCATTTTTCCCTTCCAATTCCACACAGAAATGTTTGCCTCCACCCCCTTCCACAGCATACTGTACCCTTCTCCCTACCCTGACCAACATTAACTATCGCCTGCCCTTCTCTTGAGGCTGAGGCCTGAGTAGAAGCTGAGACCCAGGACCAGCTGCTGTGTGGTGGCTCCAGGGCATTTGTTCTGTTTTTAATTTTGAAGAGAGTAGGAAGTATACATTGTAAGCTGGCATTTACTTGGACATTAGGTCTGGAGTTGAAATAAAGAGGTACTGGTTTTGAAAATTATGTATATATTCTGAGTGTAAAGTAAACATGGGATGTGTCCATCAGTCTTTTCTTAGTGAGTTGAGTCCTTTCAGGTAGAGACATAAGGGAATACTTGATTAAGAGCACATGTGCATACTTTAAACCTGATTGAGTTACCTGCTCCAATTCCTATTTTATAATGTTATTCCTTCCTCTTTAATGTGCTTCTCTATACCACTGATACTTTCTGGGAAACAATGTGAATTTCTATCTGTTTCAAGAAGTATCAGTTGCCCCCTACCCCCACCTTTCTCTTCTTCCTGGCTCTTGGAGCTCTGTCCTCCTCCACCTCTGGGTCACGGCACCACAGACCCTCAGGGTACAGCCAGCCTGTTCTCCCTTTTGGAAGCCATCTCCTCCAGGAAGCCCCTCAGGACTTGCCACCCTCTTACCAGCATGACATCCCAGCAAGGCACTCACCTCCAATGTGACTGGAACTGGTGGACATTTGGAGGTTTTGGATTTAGAGGTACCATCTGCAGAATCTCACAGAAACAAGCCTGAGAGTGTCCCTCAGAAAACACTAATGTAAAACACAGCAGTCCTGCATCTAGGAAGTGACCACCCTGGAGCTCAGCGGCGGGTCTGTGTGGTTGTTCACTGTGGTGGTATTTTGTGATGGTGAACATTTGGCAAAAGCCCACACACCTACCTGCTAGTGGCTGAATAGTTAGAGGCGTGTCCCTGCAGTGGTGGAACAAGGAATGTGCCCTGACAGAGAACGTGACTCAGATACGCTCAGCAAGAGAACGGTTATAAAACAGTGTCTGTAGTGCACAGAATCGTGTTACCCCAGGTTCTTATGTTGAAGTCCTAGCCCTCAGTATGACTGTATCTGAAGACGGGGTCTTTAGGAGGTAATGAAGGTTAAATGAGATCATAAGGATGAAGCCCTGACCTAATCAGATTGTGTCATAAGCAGAGGAGGAGGCACCAGAGATATCTGTCTCCCTGCCATGTGGGGATACAGGAAGAAGGCAGCTGTCTGTAAGCAAGGAAGAGAGCCCTCACCAGAAACTGACCATGCCAGACCTTGATCTGGACTTTCTGGCCTTCAGAACTTTGAGAAATAAATGTGTATACTTTAAGCTGTGCCATCTGGGGTATTTTCTTATGGCAGCTGGAGCTAAGACACACATTGTGTTCATACTTATGCAACAAAACAATTATTAAAGTGTGCGTTTCCTATCTAGTATGTGTTAGTTGCACTAAATAGTCTGGGGAAGTGTGTACTAGAGTGTTAGGAAGGAGGATTATGGGCATTTTCTTTCTGCTTTGTTTAATCCATTTTCTCTAGTCTGTCTAGTCTTCTGATCCCAGCATGTGGGAGAAAGCCTCACCTGTGTTGGGTGCTCTCCCAAGCATTGGTTAGGAATGAACAGACAAATGCATGAGAGATTGTGTCTGAGTTTTTACAATGAACATTTTTTACTTTGGCAAAGGGGTGTGGGCTTTGGGAGATTATCCTCCTGCATCACGCAGTGCACGAGTCAGGGCACCTGGGTCCTGCTGTTACCCCTGAGTATAAATGAAATGTGGGCTGCATCCATCAGTCCTTTCTCAGTGTGTCGGGTTCCTCCAGGTGGACATAGTGGAAAACTTGATTAAAAGCACTTGTGGGCAGGCGCGGTGGCTCATGCCTGCAATTCCAGCACTTTGGGAGGCTGAGATTAGAGGATACCTTGAGCCCAGGAGTTGTCTGTCACCCTGCTGTCACCTACTGGCCTCCAGCCTCAGTTCCCCGCTCTGTCAAAGGAAGTTGTCATTGGCCTCAAGGTCTGGGAAGACCAAGGAGGAAATGGGTGGAAAAGTTTTATGGAGCCTCTGGGACTTTCCTGAGGAGGTGAGAGCTCATCCCCCATGTCAGCCCTTGGTTCGTGGACCTGGTGGGATGCAGGGCCTGGAAAGAATAGGCTTGCTGTGAACTTCCTGCAGTGCAGAAGGTGAGGGCTCTAGGCACAGCCTTGGGGTTTTACAGCAGCCCTGTGGGAGTGAGGGTGGGGCATCCCATTTTATAGATATTAACACTGAGCTCAGAACTGGTCTGGGCAGTAGATGCTGGCTCTGGGATTAGGCTAAGCTTCCCTGACTCTACAGACTGACTGCCTTTCCCTGCATCCTAAAGCCACAAAACCAAGGAAATTTGGGCATTAGTGACCTGTTGTGACCTGGAAACTGCCCCAGGACTAACAACACAGTGGCTTCTGTGAGGCAATAGCCGTGTGCTTTGAAGGGGGCTTAGCAAACTCGCTGGGGAGCAGTTCTGGGGCCACCTCTAACTGAGGCACCATTACCTTTTGGCAGAGAAAAGTGTGTCTGAGTTTGCTTTATTTTTACTTTGAGGGGTTTTTAGGAAAGAGCCATTGTTTGAAGAAACTCAATTAACAGAAAAAAAGAACAGCATCAGTGTTTGCCTTCTTCCCCCTTTCTAGGTGGTGTCTCCCCAGGGTTTGCCCTTTTTTTTTTTTTTTTTTTTTTTAAGACTGGAGTGCAGTGGCTCAATCTCGGCTCACTGAAACCTCCACCTGCTGGATTCAAGCGATTCTCCTCCCTCAGCCTCCCAAGTAGCTGGGATTACAGGCGTGTGCCACCATACCCAGCTGATTTTTGCATTTTTAGTAGAGATGAGGTCTCACCATGGTAGCCAAGCTGCTCTCAAACTCCTGACTTCAAATGACCCACTCACTTCAGCCTCCCAAAGTGCTGAGATTACAGGCATGAGCCACCACGCCCAGCTGGCTTGCCCCTTTCCAAGCAGGTTGGTTTGGTGTCTGGCCATGACCCCTGCCCTTGTAGTTCTGAGTCTTGTCTTTGTCCTCCGTGATAAACTTTTTCCGCAGCCCCAAACCACATGCTTCCTGCTATGCATCACACGCTCATGATGTTGGGAACCTGGTGGCTAAACATGATGGTACTTAATTTCTTAAATTGGAGTTTAAGAAATTAAACTCCTTAATTTAAAATTAAACTCCTTAATTTAAACTCCTTAAACAACTTAATTTCTACATTGGATAGTTGGTTTGTTCACTTTTATATCATGCTGGTTATGGACAACTTCTAATAGTGCCTGGTATTCAGGACTCTCTTCTCCAAGGCCGATGGAAATGTTCTCATAAGCCCGGCCCCAAGCATATGATGACACATATGTTTCTGGTTTTTTGTTTGCTTGTTTTTACCAGAGCAACAGATAATGTTATTTGCTACTTTACTTAAAATGGCACAGGGATGTGACTTTGAATTAGGCAATGATTTCTTAAATACAACACCAAAAGCACAAGCAAAAAAGAGAAATTAGGTAAGTTGGACTTCATCAAAATTAAAACCTGTTGTATATCAATGAACACTATTGAGAAAATGAACAGAACTCCGTCACAAAATGGAAGAAAGCATTTGTAAGTCATGTTTCTTATAAGAGACTCATATTCAGAATATGTAAAGAATACTCATGGCAATAGAAAAGACAGCCCAGCCAGGCATGGTGGCACAGGCCTGTAATCCCAGCATTTTGGGAGAACAAGGCAGGCAGATCCACTTGAAGTCAGGAGTTTGAGACCAGCCTAGCCAACATGACAAAACCAAGTCACTACTAAAAATGCGAAAATTAGCCAAGTGTGGTGGTAAGCACCTATAATCCCAGCCTCAGGAGGCTGAGGCACGAGAATGGCCCGAGTCTGGAAGGCAGAAGTTGCAGTGATCACCTCACTGCATTCCAGCTTGAAAAACAGATCGAGACTGTATTTAAAAAAAAAAAAAGACAACTCAATTGAAAATGGGCAAAGGATCTGAATAGACCTCTCTCCAAAAAAGATACCCAAGTGGTCAATAAGCACATGAAAAGATTCTCATCACCAGTCATCAGGGAAATGCAAACCGAAACTGCAGTAAGACACCACTTCACACCCACTGTGATGGCTGATAATGACAGACAAAAACAAGTATTTTCAAGAATGTAGAGAAATCATAACCCTCAGACACTGCTAATGGAAATACAAAATGTTTAAACTGCTGTAGAAAACAGTCTGGCAGTTCCTCAAAAAGTTGGACATACAGTTACCATATGACCCAGCAGTTTTACCCCTAGGTAGTATAGATCCAGCAGAAAGGAAAACATATGTCCACATGAAAACTTAGTTCTGCTTCTCTGCAAAGCCCAGACTAAACATCCAAACCACGCTGTAATTCTTCCCCCTTTATCAAATCTACATAACGGTGTACATAAATGCACATATCAAATGTACATTAATGTTCACAATGGCATTATTCACAATAGCCCAAAACTAGAAACAACCCAAATTAAATCAGTGGATGAATAAATGTGGTATATCAACTCAGTGGAATACTGAATTCCTTATACAATGTGGATGAACCTTGAAAACATGGTACTAAGTGAAAGAAAGCCAGACACAAGCCATATGTTGTAAGATTCCATGTATATGAAGCGTCCAGGACAGGAAAGTCCATCGAGACAGAAAGTAGATTAATGGTGTCAGGCTGGAGGTATGGGGTTTCTTTTTAGGATGATGAAAATGTTCTGTAATTAGTGGTGGTGGTTCGTTCCACTATATTGTGAGTATACCAAAACTATTGAGTTGTACACTTTATAATGGTTAATTTTATGTTATATAAATTTTCTTTCAAATCTTTTTAAACAAAATGCGCAGGGAATGAGCATGGGCCAGTGACGTCAGCAACCAGGTATCTGTTGCTGGACTGTTGTGGCACTCCCTGCTGGCCCCACGTGAACTGGGGGAAGGTTTTTGTTGCAGAAACTTCCCAGGAGTGGAAACCCCCACCCAGAGTGACCTCCTAAAAGGCAGCACTGCCCAACCAGGAATGCCACAGGAGGAGGGCTTGGAGGGAGGGCAGTGGGCATGGCCAAGTCTTCTTTCCTGAGGTGATCCGAGCTTGCTGGGGAAGACACAGCAAATATTGACTACAGTAACCTAAGAGTGAGTTATGGCTTCGGGGATTTTTGAATTATTTTTACTTCCAGTTTTTCTGTAGTGAGTATAGATTACTTGGGGTGGTATTTTTAATAGAGAGAAATAATAGAGAACCAGGACCAACATGCAATGTTTCTTAAATACTTCTAATGAAAATTTAAACTCAATTCTGCTCATTCCTTTACTGTCTGTCTTCCTGGGTCAGGGTCAAGAATATCCTCCTCTCCCTGCCCACAGCCTCTTGCTGGGGGAAGGGCGTTGGCAGAACATTCCAGAGGCAAGTACACAGATTGGACCTGGTTACACTTGAGTCCACTGTGTCCAGGAACAGCGCCCTAAAGTAAGTCAAGAATTATGCACCATAGGGTTCCTTTTTCCCATATTTGTGGAAAACAAAACATTGCTTAAAGTTACAGAAAACACTTCTTAATTGGAAACTAGGTCTTTGAGTGTGTGGTGTTTCATTGGTTGAGGCTGTCCTTTACTGCGAGGGTTCAGAACCCACCTGGGCAGCGCTGTGTGTGGTGCTCAGACCCCGGCCTCTGGCATGCGCCCTGCAGGCTGCCTGTTGCTATGCACACGGGTCCTGGAGCAGGCGCTGTCACTTCCCTCATCAACCTGGGCGCCCTTCATGACTGAGAGCCGACAGTCCTGGTCTTGGTGGGAAATAGATTTGCTCTGGTAGATGGGGGACAGACGGTGGTCTTGAGCTGTTCTGTGCTGGGAATCATGGCCAGGTGAGCCCAGAAGAATCCCCTGAGGACGCATGTTGCAGAACATGTCTGTGGAGATGCCACAAGGAGACAGGCCTTGGGGTTTCAAGTTTTGAGGAAAAGATAAAACTACCAAATAGTTCTGAGACTTCTTGTTAATATACAACGTGTTTTGTTTTTCACCTTATGTAGCAGACTTTTTAAATGTTAACATTTATGTTGTCTTTAAAAATGAAATCTTGTTCTGGCGTGTGTTTTAACCCAGTAGTGTAGTTCTTCTGCAGTATTTTTTGTATGTGTCTACATGTTGTTTAATTATGGGGAGGGAATTTGGTCTTAACCACCCATGGACAAGCTGGGACTAGACAAGGCCCTAACAGGCCATGCTGATCTGGCAGCTGAAGTCTCTGGCGTGGCGCGTCCTGATGGCATCACTGAGAGACTGAGACGTGCTCTCCCCTAGGCTTCCTCCCTCCTTCCTTCCTTTCTTTATTATTTTAATTTCTTGCCTTTTAAGCTGGCAGCCACTTTGCCCATGAGCAGGCGAGACCATGGCCTTTGTGACCATGGTGGCTACAGCAGAGCGACTGGCAGCTGCTCCTGTTTTGCAATCAAGTGTGGCAGATGAGTGAGCACTTACTACTCCTCTCCCTGGTGAGTTAAAACCAACTGATCCTAAGTGGGAAAGAAAGACAGAGGCTGTATCTCTTACTTTAGAGTGATTTAACAAGAACACCGAGAGCCAGGAGACTTGGGAAGATCAGGAATTGGGGTGGGAGTGGCCGTGAAGAGGATGTCCGAGGGCGCCATGTGAGGCATACAGCATGATGTCGGAGGGTGCTGCCTGAGGCATCTATCTGTACGTGATGTCGGAGGACACTGTGTGATGCATCCCACATGTCAGAGGGAGCTGCGTGACACATACCGTGTGATATCTGAGAGCACCTCATGCTGCATCCCTGCATATTGGAGGGTGCTGCCTGAGACATCCCAGTGTGATAGAGGACGCTGCATGATGTGTTTGTAGATGATATTGGAGGCCGCTGAAGATCTCGCCTTTAGCCCTCTGGGCCTGGGGGCCTTCCCAACAGAGCTATGGCTGGGTGGTAGAGACTGGATGAGCTTCATCCCTGCTGTGGCCTCAGGGTGGGAGGCCAGTGGGCCCCAGTGGGGGGCTGAAGGCAGTGTCCCATGCACCACGCCTGGCCTGGGGCTCAGAGGATGGCTGTGCCAGCACCTACTCCCCTTTTCCACCTGTGGAGGTCTCACCTGCCCTGGGGTTCATGCCCCCACTGTTGTCTTTGCCTCCCTGCCTGCCTTCCCTGCAGCCCTGCCTGGGACCCTCCTCTATCCTCTCCAGTAGCCCTGCATGAGCCTTCCTCTGAGGTCAGGGCCTGAGCAAGTGCTCATCCCAGTCAAATGGAAGAGGACCCCCTTCTTTGGACCCCTGACCCCTTGCCTCTCCCCACCCTGATGGAGGGACTTTCAGGCCAGAAGGCTGGGGCGCTCTGTCTGGGTTCCTGCAGAGTCTGAGAGCAAGCTGTAAGCTTGTGCTTTTAGGTGCTCCTTTTCCACGTCAGTGTGTTTTGTGACACAGAACAGTGAGCAGATTGGACTGCCACTTGCAAGCCATTTTTTTGGTCGTAACATTCCTATAACAGCTAACTGAAAAGAGAAAAGTATTCGGCTAGTCTACCTATTAAAACTAAAATATTTCAAACTTTCATTGGGAATTCTTAGACAACTGCAGGTATATGATTTTTTCCCACCTCCGTGAATCTGGTAAAACTTCTTCCCAGAGGGAACCATCTGCCAACTTGAATTTATTTGCCCATTCTAGCTTGGTCCCTAGCCATTTATTCTTGTAAAAAGGACAAGCATTAAGCTTGTTAGCAGAGGCCCCTGCAGTCCCGAGTTGGGGGCAGAGGCCCTGGCTGGGCTGGAATGAACAGCTGGTCGGCTGCTGCCTCCCATGTTTTCATGCTTGTGTTTGGCCATGCATAACCTGAGTCAGCTGAACTTTCTTGGTTGTGTTTTTCAAGAGCATGTTCCCTGCTAGAAAGCTCCTACCTGTGTTAGGGACAACAAAGTCTGCACCACTGGCACAGGCCATGCGTCCATCTGTCAGCCTCCAGCTGTGTCCATTTGTAGCCGTTAACAGGGACTGGGTGCTGGGAGTGACTGGCCAGCCAGAGGGAGGGAAACAGCTGCAGCTCGCCTCAGTGCTGCTCCGTCATCCCTGGGATAAATGCACAAGATACAGTAGGTTTGGGTGATGCAAGGTCTGGTAATGTCCTGATGATGATGGTGATGGTGATGATGCCATTATTGGTGGTCACTAAGCACTACCCACCCATGTGGCTGGCCCTGAGTGTCCTCAGCTTGGGTCTTTGTAATGCTGTATACCAGCTGGTCTGACCCACTGCTATTTAGGACAACACTAGCAGCTAAGCAGCTAATCTCCAAATGCAAGTTTGTTTTTTTCTCATGTGGAATCCAAAATGAGTCTTCCAGAACCATGAGGGTCCCTTTCTTAGAGATAATGTGGGCTCAAACTCTGCATATCACTTACATTTCTTCAGAACTCAGGAGACTGGACACGATGAGTTCACCAGGCATGGGAGAAACAGAGAGAAAGGGTTTGGGGAGCAGAAAACAGCCCCTGCTTTGCCCATGTTGGTGCTGGGGCTGGGGGCAGTGCCCCAGAGCCTACATCCTAAGTAACTGGGGAGGGCCTGACACCTCCCCAGTCACTTAGAAACAGCTTGTCCAAATGGGCAGGAGCTCCAGTGAGTCCTGGACAGTTGTCTGTGATGGTTCTGGATGTCCATTGTCTGATGCAGCTTAGGATCCCAGGGTGGCAGAGGCCAAGGTTGTCAAGGGGATTCTGTACTGGGGTATTGGTGCCAAGAAGTAGTAGTGTCCTCAGCAGCTCTGATGAGCTGCTGGACACCTGGCTGGGCGATTTCACAGGGCAGGGCACAAGGTAGCACCAATGAGCCAGCTTCTCTAGGGCCTTCCGTCTGTAGCTGTGAGATGCTGCAGCAATTTGAGGGACTCAATGCACGTTGTGCTCCTTCTCCAGGAATGGCTAATGGAAAACAGAAAGGGGCCTTTGGCCAAGAGCTGCCAGTCACTTACCTGCATACCACGCAAGCCCTCAGGCATGCAGAGCTGCCTTCCTGAGTGACCGGAGCATGAAGGGAATGCTTTCCTGTTTCTCTCCCTTTCCCAGCGTGCAGTTGGACAGGCTCCATCCAGGAGAAGAACCCTGGAAACCTTTGGAAGTGGCATCTTTTTTTTTTTTTTTTACTTTATTAACTGATTTAGGTAGATATTTTGGTCTTTGGCTGCATGAAGCTACAAAATTGACCTCTATTTATTTATTTACTTTTTATATATTTTATTGCACTTTAGGTTATGGGGTACATGTGCAGAATATGCAGGATTGTTGCACAGGTACATACAGGGCAATGTGGTTTGCTACCTCCATCCCCATCACCCATATCTGGCATTTCTCCCCATGTTATCCCTCCCCAACCTCCCCACCCCCCACTGTCCCTCCCCTAGTCCCCCCCAACAGACCCCAGTGTGTGATGCTCCCCTCCCTGTGTCCATGCATTCTCATTGTTCAACACCCACCTATGAATGAGAACATGCGGTGTTTGGTTTTCTGTTCTTGTGTCAGTTTGCTGAGAATGATGGTTGCCAGTTTCACCTATTTCCCTACAAAGGACACAAACTCATCATTTTTTATGGCTGCATAGTGTTCCATGATGTATATGTGCCACATTTTCCTTGTCCAGTCTATAATCGATGGACATTTGGGTTGGTTCCAGGTCTTTGCTATTGTAAACAGTGCCACGATGAACATATGTATGCATGTGTCTTTATAATAGAATGATTTATAATCTTTTGAATATATACTCAATAATGGGATTGCTGGGTCAAATGGAATTTGTTTCTAGGTCCTTGAGGAATCACCACACTCTCTTCCACAATGGTTGAACTAATTTAATTTGCACTACCACCAACAGTGTAAAAGTGGTTTTTTCTCCACATCCTCTCCAGCATCTGTTGTCTTCTGATTTTTTAATGATCGCCATTCTAACTGGTGTGAGATGGTATCTCAATGTAGTTTTGATTTGCATTTCTCTAATGACCAGTGATGATGAGCATTTTTTCATATGTTTGTTGGCCTCATATATGTCTTCTTTTGAAAAGTGTCTGTTCATACCTTTTGCCCACTTTTGAAGGGGTTTGTTTGGTTTTTTCTTGTAAATCTGTTTTAGTTCTTTGTAGATTCTGGTTATTAGCCCTTTGTCAGATGGGTAGATTGCAAAAATTTTTTCCCATTCTGTTGGTTGCCAGTTCACTCTAATGATTGTTTCTTTTGCTGTGCAGAAGCTCTGCAGTTTAATTAGATCCCATTTGTCTACTTTGGCTTTTGTTGCCAATTCTTTTGGTGTTTTAGTCATGAAGTCCTTGCCTATGCCTATGTCCTGAATGGTTTTGCCTAGGTTTTCTTCTAAGGTTTTTATGGTGTTAGGTCTTATGTTTAAGTCTTTAATCCATCTGGAGTTAATTTTAGTGTAAGGTATCAGGAAGGGATCCAGTTTCTGCTTTCTACACATGGCTAGCCAGTTTTCCCAACACCATTTATTAAACAGGGAATCCTTTCCACATTGCTTTTGTCAGATTTGTCAAAGATCAGATGGTTGTAGATGTGTGGCGTTGCTTCCGAGGCCCCTGTTCTGTTCCATTGGTCTACCCTTCCTCACTGGAGAGTCAAGATAGTTTTAATTCAGGTCAAGCCCTTATGTGACAGAAGGGGTTGTTTGTAGGAAAATGTTTCCTAGAAAATCTTTACTTTGAAAACTTATAACTATGAAAGCCTTATAGGACCAGACTTCAATTTCCCCTCTTGTTTCGGATACCTCAAAATAGAAATGGAAGAAGGAAATATAATTTAATTTGATGGCTAGGTGTGGTGGTACATTTCTGTAATCCTAGCTACTCAGGAGGGTGAAGCATGAGAATCACTTGAACCCAGGAGGTGGTGGCTGCAGTAAGCAGAGATTGTGCCACTGCACTCCAGCCTGGGTGATGGAGTGAGGCTGTCTCCAAAGAAATTTATATATATATGTATATATATACACACACAGACACATATACATGTAATTTAATTTGACTGAAAACAGGATATGGGGAGAGGGTGGGACAG